AATCTGATTTTACTATTATATTAAGATTAGATTTATCAATTAGTTCATAAATAATAGAGGACAATTCATGGGTTGGGATAGAAGTGAACAGGCTTTTGACATCGAAAGAAACGAGTGTTGCATTATGTGGAACTTCAATATTTTTCAAATTATCTAGCAACTCAAAAGAATTCTTTATGGCAAATTTTGATTGAAAATTGATCATGGAAGGAAGTGTTTTAGCTAGTATTTGACATAATTTATAAGAGGGAGCATTTATGTACGAGACGACTGGTCTAACTGGATTATTGTCTTTATGTAATTTTAGTAAACCATAGAGTAATGGGGGTGAAGGATTCATTATTTTGGCATAGTATTCATTGTTATTAGGTAATATAGATTTGTTATTTTTTAAAATAGAAAGAATTTGTTTTTGAAAATTACATGTTGGATCAGAAATTTTAGTAAAATCTCCACTATTTAAAATATCAGCTATTTTCTTATCATATTCTGTTTTTGTAAGAATTGTTATAGTGTTGCCCTTATCGGCTTTTGTAATTATTAAATTGTTATCATTTATTTTCTTGGTTATAGACTGTATGATATTTTTCTCTTTACTGTTAGTTTTTAAATATTTGTTACAATTATTGAAATTTTCTAGTATTTTTTTGAAACATCTAAAAGCGTGCTTTATTAAAATACTAATATTTCAACGATGTTTCACAAGGAACCAACCACAGCTTCAGTACAATTTAATAAAAAATACATATTATTTCAAATACCTTTGAAAAGTATCTTGTATCTGATATCTCAAATACTTTCCTTGGAAGCATCTTATAACTTGTATTTCAGATACTTTTTATACATGTACATGTCTGTTTAAACTTTTCAGTTAAGATGAGATTCGATTATAACTTCCAACTAAACTAAAGAAATTAGCCTAATAAATGAATAAATAGATTCAATTTTCTAGTTAACTAGAAAATACCAGTAACAAAATTATTAAAAAATGCGACCGAGGTTAAATAACCTGGCACTAAACAAGCTATAATACCAAATAAATAGATTTAATTTTATTTCAATTTTGTTTAAAACAAAAGTACTTAATCAAGCGCACACCGTTCGGCCGTTCACTTTAAACTGTAACTTCGTATGTATTTACACGGTGTTACACGTGGTTCAAGTCTTAATGACGGTGAATGAGTTTATATGAAAATGTCAAATGTAAAATTACCCAATATCATAATGATAAAAAATAACTAAAGGGAAATTAAAACAATACAGTGCAACCTCTTGAATCGGAACAACTAATTATAACGACCTATTCCGATTAGCGAATCGTTTCGATTAGCGAATATACAGGGTGTTTCAAAAAACATGTGCCATCTCTTGTAAGGAGGTTCGTCACATAAAAATGAGATTTGTGTTTTACATCAGCATGGCTCCGATTTTTCCTTGTGTCATAGCTACAGTAGTTCAGGCATTGGGGATCAAAAAAGGAGCCTGCTTGGAAAACAGTCCGGAAGTTTTGAAACTTTGCAGGTTTATAGGTTTTGGGGTCCCTAACTAAAATCCATAAAATGCACATTCCCAGACTTGCCGCCGGCGCCGCCATCTTGCCAAGATGGCGCCCAAGGTATTTTGTAAGTATCTCGAAAACTACGCGTTTTTCCCAAAAATTTGAAGAGAGCAAAATTAAAGAGAATTTCCTATAAAAAAAGGTTCTATGAAAATTTTCGCTAAAGTCAACCGTTTAGGCACAAAATCTCTGGAAATTTTACCATTTTGCGTAAAGTATGATATATAGTCGATTTTCCGAAATCAAATGTCAACTAGAGTTCACTAAAACTAGTTTTAGTTTAGTTTCTTCAATGTTGTCATGAAACAGTGGCGTATCATTAATTCGCTCATTAATTTCTTCTTCTTCTTCTTCCTTCTTCATACTAGGCGAATCGCCTGTTTGGTTTCGTCGTCTCTAGCGGTTAGACTGACAAGTTGTCGCTCCATCGTTTTCGTGGACGTCCTAAGCTTCTGCGACCTAGCGGTGATTTGTCGCGTGCAACTCTCACTATCCTTCTGTTGTCCATTCTGCTGATATGCTCGTTCCATTCTTCTTTTCTGCTGAGTACCCACTCATATACATTTTCCACCTTGCACGCTCTTCTTATGCTTTCATTTCTCTCTCTGTCCAGAATCGTCTTTCCAGCTATTCTGCGTAGTACTCTCATTTCGGTGGTTTCTAGTAGTTGTTTAGTTTTCGCTGTATCAGGTCGAGTTTCTGCAGTATATGTCATTATTGGTCGTACCGTTGCCTTGTAAATTCTCGCTTTAGTCTCCACCTCAATGTTTTTATTTCGCCATATTGTATCATTCAGGCATCCTGCTATTCTGGTTGCCTTCGTTGTCCGTTCTCGCACCTCCGCTTCTACATCACCATAACCTGGATTTCTATGCCTAGATACTTAAACTTTATCTCTTGCTGAATAACATTGCCCTCGACTTCCAGTTTGCATCTTAGTGGTACTTTTGATGTCGTCATGCATTTCGTTTTCTGGGTCGATATTATCATATTAAGTGATTTGGCAGTGCAATTAAATCGATGTAATAAGCGCTGTAGATCGTTCTCATTTTCAGCTACCAATACGGCGTCGTCAGCATAGCATAGAATAGTAATTTCCTGGTCGCCCATACTGTATCCCTTCAGTAAACGTACATTTCCTATTATTTCGTCCATAATGATGTTGAAAAGAAGAGGGCTCAGGGAGTCACCTTGTCGGATACTACAGCCTACATTTATTGGTTCGGTCAGGACCCCGTTAATTTTAGCTTGAATTTGGTTCGCTTCATATATGTTTTGTATGGTTTTAACGAGGTTGTGTGGGATTTGCCTATTGTAAAGAAGGTGTACAACGTCTCTTAGCTGCACACGGTCGAACGCTTTTTCTATATCAATAAAACACATATACGCTGGTTTGTTATATTCGATTGATTTTTCTGTTATCTGTCTTATGACAAAAACCGCGTCTGTGCATGATCTGCCCGATCTGAAACCTTGCTGTTCATCTGCTAAGCATGTTAAGTCGTTTATTTTGGTTGTTATCACTTTTGTCGTAAGTTTTAGTGTGGTGCTTAGAAGATTTATGCCTCTATAGTTTGAGGGCAGCTTCTTATCTCCTCTTTTCAAAACAAAACAAAACAAAAAACATCAAGATAGTGGTGCTGGTTCGCCATTCATCGGATATCCTATGTTGGTAAAGAATTTTTTGAATCAGGGATGTTAGCTGCTGTATGAGACTTTGGCCGCCATATTTAAGTAATTCGTTTGGGATATCATCTTGCCCTGGGCTCTTTCTATTCTTTAGCTTTCGAAGGGATGTAATTATATCGGCTGCCTCAATCTGTACGTTGTCGTTAGTCATTATTTCGGGTGTATTTAGTTCAACCTCTATTTCTTCTGATTTGTATAGTTCTGACAAGTAATCAATCCAGGATTCCCTTGCTATGTGATTTGTTTCAACTAACTCGTTAATCTCTTTTCTTTGCTTTCCTATAAAGCGCCAAATTTGTTTTTGAAGTCCGTAGAAGTCACTCTCCATTCGTTTAGAGAAAATTTCCCCTCATTAATTTATGAATAATTAATTGTCGTGCCGGACTGCATTCACTGCGAATTTATCACCAGGTTCAGCATTGGTCTGGTTGTTACCAAAAACCAAAGATGCCGGAGAAAGGAGTTGGAAGAAAACAAAAACAGGCATTACTCCAGTCACAATGTTGAATGATCCAGCTCCAAAATCCCTATTGACATTTTTATCCTGTAAATAATGCAAAACCAACAACTGTGGTAAAGACTGCGGATGCAGAAAAGCAGGATTAAAATGTTCAATGATTTGTGCATACTGCAATGGGAAATCCTGTGACAACGTCACTGAAGTGTCACTCGACGAATCCGATGAAGAGGAGTTGGACTTGCCTGTAGATATCCCTCTAGCGGCTGAAGATGAAAAGTTAGACGAATTGAGAGACCAGCACAGCAGACCCGATCGACTTTGACATCAATGAGCCAGGTCCGTCGGGCTTGTGCAGGTAAGTTAAAGTTTTTAATTTACCTAGTGGAGTAGGCCTCCGGGGAGACCACGTTAAAATAATCGCGCCGTGTACTTTACTCCTTGGGTGGTGTGGAAACAAGTACACATTTTCAATAATTCAAATTAATTATTCATAAATTAATGATACGCCACTGTTTCATGACAAAATTGAAGAAACTAAACTAAAACTAGTTTTAGTGAACCCTAATCGATATTTGATTTCGGAATACTTATTTTACGCAATCATATTTTACGCAAAATTGTAAAATTTCCAGGGATTTTGTGAAAAAAAAACTAAACGGTTGACTTTAGCGAAAATTTTCATAGAACCTTTTTTATAAGAAATTGTCTCTCTTTAATTTTGCTCTCCTCAAATTTTTGCGAAAAACGCATAGTTTTCGAGATATTTTCAAAATACCGATTTAGGGCGCCATCTTGGCAAGATGGCGTGGCCGGCACCGGCGGCAAGTCTCGAAATGTGCATTTTATGGATTTTAGTTAGGAACCCCAAAACCTATAAACCTGCAAAGTTTCAAAACTTCCGGACTTTTTTCCAAGCAAAAATCCCCAATGACTGAACTACAGGGGTTAAAGTCTTAGATTAAGAATAAAAAGTTAAAATAGCGAAACTGGTCTTGGTCTTGATCTTGTATAAAAAGCAAAACCAAGACCAAAACTAGCGTCTGATCTGCAAAACCAAATTCAAGACCGACCAGTGAAAGACTTCCGCAAGACCAACATCAAAACTAAGCATGCCAGGCTTTTGCTAGCTTGCATTTTTTCATTTATATTTTTATATGTTTTATATGACACATAGCATATACAGGGTGTCCAAATATTCCGTAGACATACGTATTTTTGGATTCAAAACATGTTCATTATATGTATCGCTGTTTTTTTTAATTGGTATCATTTAAAGTTTCCTTTTTATTTTAGAATACAGCCTCAAGTAGTTCTTTATGGCGGAGGACAAGGACAACCTATTTTAATAAATCCAGGTAACCCGCCCGGCAATTTTCTCATACCGCAAGGTCCAGGCCCGAACATAATTGTAAGAAATAATCCTCAGGGATCAGTATTTCCTGTTGCTGGATATCCTAAACCGGCGCATATCCCTCCAATAGAAAAAGATGCTGAAGAGATACCTGTAAATCCTGCTAAAATCCCTCCATTTCCTAAAAGTAAGTTTCGTTTTAACTATGACAAACTAGAAAATATAGTAATATCCCCTTAAGATCCGTTAACCATTTAAAAAGTCTCCTATAGGGAGGTTACCATTAAAAAAGTCTCCTATAGGGAGAGATGGGCATATGGGCAAACATCTGGTATAAAGGGTGTCCCAGGCTGAGCGTGCATTAGAAGTTTCTACAGAACTACAACATCTAGATCCGAGATTTTTTGTACATCGCTGTGTTACAGCGTGATCTATGAATTAAAAATATTTACAATATGGCGGCACTTCCGGAAATACCGGAAATTGACAGTAACTTTCTTATTTTAAAGGGGTGTCCCCGTTTTTAATTACATAATTAAATTCTCTGTAAAATTTTATGAATTTTGATATTAAACACTCTATATCTAACATTAACCGTTTTTGAGAAAAAAAGTATTTAACATTTTTGGACGAAAAAAACTGTGTGTCAAAAAAAATTTAGCCTAAAAGTCAAATTTAGTGAAAAGAAGTAAAGAAAAGTTATTTATTATTATATCAGTAAAATCATCAGATTGTTGAAAATCTATGAAAAGATCTTTTTAGATTGAAAGTAAGGTAAGTGACGATAAACGTTTATTTTTCATGGAATCTCTACTATAAATTTTAATGCATTTCAAACATGAAAAAAGTCTTTCAACCCAAGTACTTGTAAATGGTGTAACAAACAAAACAAACAATTTGAAAGCCTCTGGAAATATATTTTCAGGATTATTCTCCTTAAATTATTTTATAATCGAAATCATATATTATACACTATATTATATATATACTATATATATATATATATATAGTATATATATATATATATATATATATATATATATATATATATATATATATATATATATATATATATATATATATATATATATATATATATATATATATATATATATATATATATAAAATCATATTTATTATTAATACAATTTATTCATTAATTTATGTTGGTCAATAACATTTTTTGGTTGTTAAATCACTATTAAATGCGTTGGAAATGTATCAATATAACAAGCTGGTTAAATGAGATGTTAAATGCGTTATAGGGTAGGCGAAATTTTTTATAGGATTCTTTAAGTTTCGGATCCGTAAGAGATAAATAAAAATAATTGAGACATGCAAGTACCTATCTGCAAACCTTATTTCTAAATCTATAACAATGTTATCTAACAGTTCATAAAATAAAATTCGCAAAGATATTTGACATAGCCGCTTTTATTAATATATCGAATTGAAATAGCATATTGAGTCTTTTCTGTAATATCTGTTGTATCGTCTTCTTGCACCGAATAAAATAACGCGCTTTTTTATTTCGGATTCTTTTATTTCTGTGCCGTGTTCTGAAATACAACCGGTTATATTATTTTTAACAATCTCGGACAAGCCCGAAAAATGTTTCCAATTTTCTTTAAACGTTTTTTTTGAATTTTCATATAAAAGTTTTAAATGCTACGTATAATGAATCATATGAAATATACCCTTAAGGGAATATCCCCTTAAGCCTACCGAGCCTCCACGACTTCATGCGAAGGCGACCGGAGATTGGGACGCTTAAGCCCCGCCTTAAGGCTGATTCATGGTACACCGGGCCGTACCCGAGCCGGGCACGTTCCGTAAAGTAGACACCGAGTCACGTCCGGGCCTTCAAAGGCTTCATCTTGCCCTTTGAGCAGGTGTTGTTCTTTCTTCATCAACTGTAATTGGTACCAATTCCACTTGCGAGAACTTTGGCATTGTTCGTATTAAATCTTCGTGTCTATGGGGCTGTGTTTTATAATATACTCAGAACTAATACGAGCCCCGTTATCAACTCGGTGTAGCATAAACAGAAGGCCCGGACGTGGCTCAGTGTCTACTTCACGAAACGTGCCCGGCTCCGGTGTACCGTGAATCTTCCTTTAAACAGAGACAGGAGACTGCCGTACGTCGTACATCGACTCTGATAGTAGGCGATGTAGAAATCGCCGAACAAAGGCACTCCAACGGTCAAAATTATTTTGTTTTCTAACGCAGCGGCACACTCAGCGTACGCCAGCGGTAGTGAATATTTTAATATACAAGACCACAAATATTAAAATAATATTGATTATTAACACACACTTCCGTGTATTAACAGTATTTTTATTTTATTGGCAACATTAATAATGTAATGTAATAAACCGCTCAAATCCTGCCAAAATCTTAGGGTAAACGCCGCCTACCTTGCCTACCCTGACGAGCCGCCACTGATGTATACACCCGGTATATACCCAAGTATGTTTATTTTGTTAATTTAACGTACTATCAAGTCTCATTGGAATATTCACCAGTAGTTACTTGAATGCATCAAAAGTTATTTAAGTGATCGGTCGATTTTGGTAGCCGACTGCCACATGGAAATGACTAAAGGCGTGCCACAGGTATCCACACTAGGTCCGCGCTGATGGCATAGCTTTAATTATTAGAGCTGGAAGTGCAGAGGAAACAATTACGATAGCAGAACAAGCAACGCGTTTCAGGTATATACCTGGATGGAAGAGCTGTGGTTACTCGTAGGAGGTCGTAAATTATCAGGCCGGGACATTCTAGTGAAAGACAAATCCATTATGCTAAAAAGCACAATAAACTACTTGGGAGTGACGTTTCAAACTGGAGAATATTTTACTCAGCACACACACATACGCACGGTAGCGGCAAAAGCAGAGGGGCAATGTATACTGCTAGCAAAGCTAATACCGAACTGGTCAATTATGGAGGAAACCAAGCGCAGAATGTTGGCCGCCGGCCATGTCTACCATTTTGTATGCTGCAGAAGTTTGGGGAGAATCCGTTGAATTGAGAAAGAACAGGGAAATATTAAGGACAGTTCAAAGGTGATTGGAGCTGCGAATATGTCCTAGCTAGCAAGCAAATGCCGAACTGGTCAATTATGGGGGAAACCAAGCGCAGAATGTTGGCCGCCGGCCATGTCGACCATTTTGTATGCTGCAGAAGTTTGGGGAGAATCCGTTGAATTGAGAAAGAACAGGGAAATATTAAGGACAGTTCAAAGGTGATTGGAGCTGCGAATATGTCCTAGCTAGCAAGATAATGCCGAACTGGTCAATTATGGGGAAACCAAGCGCAGAACGTTACCGCCGGCCATGTCTACCATTTTGTATGCTGCAGAAGTTTGGGGAGAATCCGTTGAATTGAGAAAGAACAGGGAAATATTAAGGACAGTTCAAAGGTGATTGAGCTGCGAATATGTCCTAGCTAGCAAGCAAATGCCGAACTGGTCAATTATGGGGAAACCAAGCGCAGAATGTTGGCCGCCGGCCATGTCTACCATTTTGTGCGCTGCAGAAGTTTGGGGAGAATCAGTTGAATTGAGAAAGAACAGGGAAATATTAAGGACAGTTCAAAGGTGATTGAGCAGCGAATATGTCCTAGCTAGCAAGCAAATGCCGAACTGGTCAATTATGGGGAAACCAAGGCAGAATGTTGGCCGCCGGCCATGTCTACCATTTTGTATGCTGCAGAAGTTTGGGGAGAATCCGTTGAATTGAGAAAGAACAGGGAAATATTAAGGACAGTTCAAAGGTGATTGGAGCAGCGAATATGTCCTAGCTAGCAAGCAAATGCCGAACTGGTCAATTATGGGGGAAACCAAGCGCAGAATGTTGGCCGCCGGCCATGTCTACCATTTTGTATGCTGCAGAAGTTTGGGGAGAATCCGTTGAATTGAGAAAGAACAGGGAAATATTAAGGACAGTTCAAAGGTGATTGGAGCTGCGAATATGTCCTAGCTAGCAAGATAATGCCGAACTGGTCAATTATGGGGGAAACCAAGCGCAGAATGTTGGCCGCCGGCCATGTCTACCATTTTGTATGCTGCAGAAGTTTGGGGAGAATCCGTTGAATTGAGAAAGAACAGGGAAATATTAAGGACAGTTCAAAGGTGATTGGAGCAGCGAATATGTCCTAGCTAGCAAGCTAATGCCGAACTGGTCAATTATGGGGGAAACCAAGCGCAGAATGTTGGCCGCCGGCCATGTCTACCATTTTGTATGCTGCAGAAGTTTGGGGAGAATCCGTTGAATTGAGAAAGAACAGGGAAATATTAAGGACAGTTCAAAGGTGATTGGAGCTGCGAATATGTCCTAGCTAGCAAGCAAATGCCGAACTGGTCAATTTATGGGGGAAACCAAGCGCAGAATGCTTGGCCGCCGGCCATGTCTACCATTTTTGTATGCTGCAGAAGTTTGGGGAGAATCCGTTGAATTGAGAAAGAACAGGGAAATATTAAGGACAGTTCAAAGGTGATTGGAGCAGCGAATATGTCCTAGCTAGCAAGCTAATGCCGAACTGGTCAATTATGGGGGAAACCAAGCGCAGAATGTTGGCCGCCGGCCATGTCTACCATTTTGTATGCTGCAGAAGTTTGGGGAGAATCAGTTGAATTGAGAAAGAACAGGGAAATATTAAGGACAGTTCAAAGGTGATTGGAGCTGCCAATATGTCCTAGCTAGCAAGCAAATGCCGAACTGGTCAATTATGGGGGAAACCAAGCGCAGAATGTTGGCCGCCGGCCATGTCTACCATTTTGTATGCTGCAGAAGTTTGGGGAGAATCCGTTGAATTGAGAAAGAACAGGGAAATATTAAGGACAGTTCAAAGGTGATTGGAGCAGCGAATATGTCCTAGCTAGCAAGCAAATGCCGAACTGGTCAATTATGGGGGAAACCAAGCGCAGAATGTTGGCCGCCGGCCATGTCTACCATTTTGTATGCTGCAGAAGTTTGGGGAGAATCAGTTGAATTGAGAAAGAACAGGGAAATATTAAGGACAGTTCAAAGGTGATTGGAGCAGCGAATATGTCCTAGCTAGCAAGCTAATGCCGAACTGGTCAATTATGGGGAAACCAAGGCAGAATGTTGGCCGCCGGCCATGTCTACCATTTTGTATGCTGCAGAAGTTTGGGAGAATCCGTTGAATTGAGAAAGAACA